ATCCCGGGAGAGTGTCCACATCATTGGACTGTTGTCGCAGCGCAATGAACGACGTGGTAGCAGACTTATGAAAATGAAGTGGCTGTAATTGATCGGCGCACCAAAGTTTTTTATTTCCTGCTCATTGATTTTACAGGCGGTGAGCAATATTGATACGAGTGACAGGAAGAGAAACATAAACACTGCGAGGGAGGGAGGCGGAGGGAGAGGAAGGAGGGGAGGAAATCAAAACAGGCGAAACTAAAAACGCTGAATTATAAAAACGTAACCTAAGCGACGGTGTTGAGTTTAAAAACAAAACAAAACAAAACAAAACTCATCTTGTTGTTTCTACTGCTGAGTTACAGTGACCTTTCATGATGTCACCCTGAATCTGACCATAATATTGAATTCTTTTGATGATCAACTTTCCTTGGTATTACTTACAGTTTAAAACCACTGTCCATTTTAATAAACATTAAGTCTGAATAAATTATTTTAAAACATAAAATATATATTTAAATAACAATGGCTACATTGTTTAAACAACATCGATAAGCCTGTCATATATAAATATATGAAATATATACTACTATAGTACTACTAAAATATATATCCTCACAATAAAGCAGCAAAATAATAGTAATAATAATATAATAGGGATATAATAGTACAAATGTAATGACAATAGTAAAATACGATGGCAATAATATTATTTTATTTATATTATTTTTAGCAAATATAATATTAAGCAACAGCAATAATAAATAATAAAGCAATAATGTAATATAATATGAAATCTGTGAGAAGCAATATAGTAAAATCAATAATATAACATTATTTACACACTTAGATGATGAGAATATGTGCAACGGAGTCAGAATTAGCAGCATGTAAATTGTTGTTGACTCTTATAGAATGGTGTGGACTGTGGAGCTGGGTTTGTGTACATGGGACTGGGGTGGGTGGGCTGTGCAGTGGGTGACTGTGATGTCGGGGGTTGACCGTTCCAAATCCTGGCCTGGGGGAGGAAGCTCCTGCTCAGTCCTTTGTTCTGGCCGTGCAGTAGAGGAGGCGACTGGAAAAGTTTGTTACTTGGCTGGTGAATGTCTTACAGGCAGTGATGCTCCAGCTGTGCACGCTCTCTCTAACTGGAGAGATGTTGAACTTCCTCTCCTCAGCTGTCGGAGGAAGTACAGGTGCGGCCGTGCTGGTCATGGTGGGAGGTCCATGTCAGATCTTCACAGATGAGGTAGCTGTAGCTACCAACTCTCTCCACAGGGGGGTCCAATAAATCAGAAGAGTGAGATGGCTCCTCTGTCTCTCTTCAGGTCCACTTCAATGTGTTTGCAAAATGATCCACATCCTGGAGCTCATGACCACATCTGTATTATCTGCAGCGTAACTTCACTTAATGTCACCAAAATACGGCGACTTGAGGTGTAGTGCCCTATTCTCACCACCTGTGGTGTGTGAGTTTTTGAGTCCTTGAGGAACTGTGGTGTTGAATGTGAAATGTAGTCAATAAACAGCAGCTGTAATCCAGATGGGGGGGAGGGGGGGAGGGTGCAGTGGGGGACAGGGTTGAATGAGGTAAGTCCTTGATTAATCTCTCATAGCACTTCATCACCACAGAGGCCAGTGCCACTGACCGATAGCCGTCACGACATGTCTGGTCTTCTATGGGACAGGGATCATGACGGAGTTTTTGAAACAGGATTGGACAGTGGAATGAGCCAGGATGAGGTGGAATGGTCATGAGGCGCCGTGGCCTCCCTCGGTGCCAAAAGCTGGTTGTTACACGGCTTGGTGAGTGACCATGATCAATGTAAACTCCTCGAGCAGGAAGAGAGGACAACAGAGAATCACCAGATGTACCAGCAGGGGGAGCAGGAGCTCGAGAGGACTGAGATAGTCCTTGGATCACACTTGCTCATTGTCATGAAACATACTTTAATCATTTATTGTCCAGATACTGATTGTTGGCCAGCAGGACACTGGACGACCAGTCTGTTGATTTTCTGACCCTCGTCCCCTTTTTTTTCCCGCTGTGCTGTATGTCCAATGTTAGGGTCCACGTTTGGTAGGTTCTCCTCCCACCTGTGGACTCGTACCTGAACACCACACTGTCACTATGGTGTGGTGTGTTTTATGAACTCAGTTTTTAGTCGGCAGGAACTGTTCATTTTCTACATCTTGGGTAATATCTTTAATAAGGCTTAAACTGGTTCGTCTTAATTCTTCTCCTCTATGCAGATGATATATATATATCTGAATGATATAAATCCCAGATGCCCTCCCACTGTTAATTATCTGTCATTTTCTATCTCCCAGTATCAGGCTGCTCCAGGAAGTTTTGGAAAGTCAATCTCAAATGATTAAAACGCTGAGTCGAATCCCATTATCATCTTTATCAACAGTTTAAAGGCCTCAAAAAATGTTTTTACTTGTTTTTCAGCAACTTACAGATAAGATGTCTCCACATTCACCCACACACTTAGATTGCAGGTCAGCGTGTAGTGTCAGAGTGTGTGTAACCACATTAAAGGAGCAGCGTAATGTGCAGCAGCAGGAAACTCAAGCCGCTCTCACACTGGCATTAAACATTTTTTTGATCAAATTGAGGAGATTTCTTTTCCAAACGACCGAAACCCGACGCCGTATTTTGCTCCTCTGGTTTCCTCTTTTCTCTCCTGGAAGGAGCCGCGGCGGCGGCCTTAATGCGCCGCTCCTCCTCCGGTTTCTGTTTGTCGCTTCCCAGCGTTCCGTGTCTGGAAACTGCTGATGAGATTTGCATCGAGCGCAGAGAGGCACTAAAAACCATCAAACCCACCGCCGTGTGGTCCACGCCGGGCCCAGCAGGGGAGGGGGTGTAACCCAAGATACAGCCCGGGCACGAGCTTGTGCACGCGTGGGCACACACACACACACACACACACACACACACACACACACACACACACACACACACACAGAGACTGTGGCTTTGGTAGATGAATCCGATGCACAAACACACACTCAGTGATGAACACATTAACTCACACCTCTGTCTCTCATGTTA